AGCACATGGGCTCCCTTCCAGGGCGGGGCGGGGGGCGGGGATGAGCCAGGCTGCTGGGTCCAGCAGGCACGTAAGAGGTTTCAATGCTGCGCTTTGGCTGCAGAACGGCGAGACGGCCATGCATGTTGCAGCTCGCCACGGCAGCCTGCGGATGATCCAGGCCCTGATAGAAGAAGGAGGGGAGCTCACCTCGCAGTCCAAGGTAGGTGACCCAAAGCAGCCAAGACACACACGAGAGGGACAGAGCTGGAGCACTTGAACACAGGAAGGAATCTTCAGGGGGTAGCCAAGTTAGTCTGTACAGGATACATTTGTAACACAACAAATGGTCTGGTAGCTCTGTATAGACCAGTGTTTCCCAAATGGTGTTCCGCGGAACCCAGGGGTTCCTCAAAGTGAACATAAGGGTTCAATGAGAAAATTCCATTACAATAACATTTTATGATTTAAAAAATAATATTTTTGTACACATTAAATGTGATTTTTTAAATTATGTGTAATTAAACTAATTGTAGATCTCATGACCTTGTTTAGCATTTGTTTATTATTATCCTTAGAACATAAGAACATAAGAACGGCCGTACTGGGTCAGACCAAAGGTCCTTCTAGCCCAGTATCCTGTCTGCCGACAGTGGCCAGCACCAGGTGCCCCAGAGAGGGTGGACCAAAGACAATGAGCAAGCGAATACTGTGTACAGATGTGGTCTTCTCACCTCAAAAAAGATATTTTGGCCTTGGAAAGGGTTCAGAAAAGGGCAACTAAAATTATTAGGGGTTTGGAACGGGTCCCATATGAGGAGAGGTTAAAGTGACTGGAACTTTTCAGTTTAGAAAAGAGGAGACTGAGGGGGGATATGATAGAGGTCTATAAAATCATGAGTGGTGTGGAGAGGGCCGATAAAGAAAAGTTATTTATTAGTTCCCTAAATAGAAGAACTAGAGGACACCAAATGAAATTAATGGGTAGCAGGTTTAAAACTAATAAAAGAAAGTTCTTCTTCACACAGCGTGTAGTCAACCTGTGGAACTCCCAGGCGATAAAATGGTGTCCTTGGCCTCTGTTTTTCAGAGGCTGGAGAACATAAGAACATAAGATCGGCCGTACTGGGTCAGACCAAAAGTCTTTCTAGCCCAGTATCCTGTCTGCCGACAGTGGCCAGCACCAAGTGCCCCAGAGAGGGTGGACCAAAGACAATGATCAAGCGATTTGTCTCCTGCCATCCCTCTCCAGCCTCTGACAAACAGAGGCCAAGGACACGATTTTATCCCCTGTCTAATAGCCTTTTATGGACCCAACCTCCATGAAATTATCTAGCTTCTCTTTAAACTCTATTAAACTTCGTTGAATGTTAGGTAGGTAATGTCCCAGTCATTCATTGTCCCGACTGAGGAGATGATGATCAGAGTGAGAACTGAACTTGCGGAGGAATTGTAATTCCAACGCCTCCCTGTGTATGTGACTAGTAGAACTGGTTTGTGACAAGACAGCCACCCTGAAGGTAGGGAGGCTGGGGACTCCTCTAGGGGTGCAGGGGATCAGGAACCTGCCTGCGGTGCCATATGCCCCAGGAACTTTCTGGGAAGGACCCAGAACGCAAGACTGGTCAGAGCAGAGTCGTTGGCTCATCCAAGTCCCTTATGTCTGGAGTAGCCTGGAGTGGCACCAGTCCTGAGCGCTTGTTCCAGTGCTCTCCAGCCGCAGGGACCATCCAGCCCGCGGTAGGCCAGTGACGATCCTCTCCGCAAACTCTGTCTTCTCCCCTGGGGACTTATGTCAGAGCTAAACTATGTTTTAACATTAACACGCGCAAAGGGTTAGGCCAGGCTGTCAAACAAAGCCGGATTGCTCATTATTTAGCCAGTTATGAGGCCAAGGAAAATAACCAGGTGATGGAGTGAGGCTGTCCCCCCGGACAGCTGGGCTCACGCAGGAATTAGGTTGCAGGTGTTTAAACGTGCTGGCCGCCGCTTCCCAGCCAGCTCTGTTGCTCCCGTCCCCCACTGCTGGGTCGGACTTGTTTTGATGATCCGTGTCTGATGAAGGGAGGGCCCCGGGTTAGGTAATAGAAATGCAAAGCTGGGTGGGCAGGAAGCTTGGTGCTGCTTGTCCTGTTAGACTCCGCTTTTGCCAGCATCCTCAGACCGCCTTTCTCAGGGTCTGGCTTCCTGCTCATGGGAAAAGAGGCTTTTTTGTAGCCATTGAGTTTGGGCCCTTGGGGCTTCTCTCCGGTTACAAAAGCAGCCTGAAAGGGTTGAATCTTTTTTTTTCTTTTTTTTTTTCTGAATGCCTGTTCTTAGAAATATCACAAATGTCAGTGCGGCTGCTCCTTGATTTTGCTTGTCAAAACGTCTGCTGCATCTCCGAGCATGTTCACTGTGACTTAACAGAGCAAGTGAAGGAAGGGTGGAAATTTAACCGAGACTGCCTTTCTCCAGAATGTTATTTAGTTATAGACCAGAAATAGGTGTTGTCAGAAACCAGCCAGCAAAGACTTCCAAGGAGTCTCTTCCCCTCTCGATGGCTCAGGTTTACTCTCACGACTCTTGTGAACTGGCCATTTCTCTAGCTGCCCAGTCACTATAGAGTCTTGAAGGGCAGGAAGATCCTGTGGGAAAAAACAAATAAGGCAGCTTGGGGACTATTCAGGACACTTTTTTCCATCACAAAGTTGAGCTGGGGTAGTGGAGGGGGGGCATGTTTTTAAATGACTCATTAGCCCAATTGTTTGGTTGGTTTGTTTTCCAGGTCGCTTTTACTGCCTCACAGCTAGAAAGGCTGATGTGGTAGAGATGAATCCTACTTAGAAGTTGAATGTGGGGCCAACAGGAAATCCCTAGCATAGACTCAGTAACTATGGGTGTGTCTGGACTACACGGCTCCATCGATGGAGCCATGTAGATGAGTTTACTAGACATAGGAAAATGAAGCGGCGATTTAAATAATCGCTGCTTCATTTACATCAAAATGGCCGCCGCGCTGTGCTGATCAGCTGTGCCAGCACAGCAGGGCAGCCTGGACACTCTGTGGTCGACTGCTCCAGTAAACCTCATTTCACAAGGCTTACCTTGTCGACCGCGGAGTGTCCAGACTGCCCCGCTGTGCCGCCAAACAGCTGATCGGCACAACGCGGCGGCCATTTTGATGTAAATGAAGCGGTGATTATTTAAATCGCTGCTTCATTTTCCTTTGTCTAATAACTCATCTACATGGTTCCGTCGATGGAGCCATGTAATCTAGACATATCCTGAATGCTCATCCCGGTGAGGGAGGAACCATAGACAATGCCCCTGAAACTTGAAGGATCTGAAATTTCAGGCACAGTCCTGATATGCACTTGAGCCGTCTGACTCTCTGGGCTGTCAGTGGGCGTCTGAAGGGAACTGGGAGTCTAATGGGGTGGTTTATCCTCTGTTAGCCTTACTTGGTGATAAACCTAGAAGTGCAGAGGCTGACTAGGCAGGCGTTTAGGGTCAGGGTAGAGGGATGGTTCTCAGCGCCTGGTAGTTCACTCGTTTCCGGGTGGAGAGAGGCCACAAGGGTGAGGCCGGAGGAGTTTGCTTTGGACGGTGCTGGCCGATAGCGTAAACCGCCCTGGGTGCTGCCCTGCAAGCGAGGCAGACGCCCATCTCAATGCCCCTTCCCTGCTGGCAGGCTGGAGAGAGCCCCCTGCACATCGCAGTCCAGCACTGCCACCTGCCCGTGGTGGAGGAGATCCTCAACTCCCTGGCCACGGAGAAGGGCCACGCAGAGGCCACTGCCTGCGTCAACCAGGAAAACAAGGTGACTGGGGGGGGGGGGGGGGAG